GGGGAAAATGTTCAGTGTTGTGTTAAATCGCGTAATAGGTTTTTAAATTGCGTTCACCGCATGGTGGCAGCAGCTCGTGGTCATGTATCGGTGTCGGTGTGCCTCGTGCTTTCATCAAGCCAACCAAGCTAAGTACTCTTACGGACGCCTCACTAATTCGACGGTCGAAGTAGATGTAATTAAATTCTCGAGATTACATTTTAAGTTTGTCGGTACCTTTCACAGGCAAGACGCGGATATTCTCTAAATAATAAAAATCGTTCACAAATCAAAGTGTTTTCAATTGATTTAATTAAACTTTAAAAGGACGCTCTCAAACCCAAAGTAAATCACCACTCCGCAAATCACGTTGTACAAAGCAGTGTAATTTAAATAGATTATAAAATAAATTCAGTTAAATTTTTGTGTTAAACCTTGACATTCTCTGCACCCTTTCTCATCTCACTAATTCCCGATTTCTCATTTTAATTTAAAGAACCATCCCCTCAATAAGGCTTTTCTCAAACACATCAATATCACGCATTTCTACGCGACGGCGATGGAAATTTTTTCTAGCCTGTGCTCAGTTACTACTGTTAACTTTTTATCAGCTATCATTCTTTAATAAATTTAGCTGCATTAATTATAAATTTTGCTGTGATTCAATTTGTTTTAGTTTTTCGTTAACTCTGTCTTCAATAATTGGCATAAAAAGATTCAAGTCATCAATAGATGATCTTAATGGTGACGTAACTTGGAAAATAGTTTTTATTTCGTTTTTTACAATGTTTTGTGCAAGTCTTAAATTTACTGCATCATGCAGTTCTTCAGCGTCCTTAACGTTACAAAGTCTTTTATTATCTATATCAAAGTGTTCACTTGAATTAACTTTAAGTCCAACTCCAGTAGGTCCACGTCTTGCTATTACTGTTCCTCCTTGACTGAGAGGATGTCCGAACAGATCAATGCTTATTATTGAAATGAATGACATTTACTAAAGCACACCTTAATATATGATTTTAGCCTCACGTAATTCCTCAATAATTGACATAATTTCATTATTATGACTAGTATTGTCAGCTTCTTGAGATGCCATAAGTAATCGAAGACGATCAACCAATTCATTTGGATCATCCCAATAAATATAATCTGGTTTAAAACTTTTATTCGCAATCATAAATTTAGGTAGTGAACTACCACTTATAAATGACTCTTTTGTAGAAGGAAATAATTTTGATATAATATTCATGTATTTAAAACTTCTATCGCTATGAATAGAGTTAGAGGAACTATAGTTTTTTCTATGTGCATTGGAGGTGGTAAGAATTTGTTTATAATTATTCATATCATGATCACTAATGTATGATTTTTCAGGTTTGTTTTTAAATAAAAGTTCTAATAACCCAGAGGTAATTTTAAAACGTTTATCTTCAATATCTACAATGTGATTTTTAAAGATTATGGTTTTATTACCAATCATAAGGGAACCATCATTAGCTTTGCGTACTCCATATATCATATCCAAACATTGTTTTCTATTATGTTTTATCAAGAATATATATTTACTAACTAATTTATCAATGTCAGATCCGGGTTTTAGTGTTTCACCATCATCAGTACTCATATAATTTATATCATCATCACTATCATCATGATCATCATCTGATTCAGCTTTATTTTTAATATCTTTTTTCTTTTCAATTTTAACATTTTTATGTTTATAATCTGTCAAGTTAATAATTTTTTATAAAGGTTGAACTACTGGCTTAAAAGTTTCATTCAAAACATTTTCAGCAGCTTCCTTTCCTAATTTCAACATACGATGCTTCCGTCTAATTGTCTTACTAGCTTTAGCAATTTGATGTAGATACTCTTTCTCTTTATGAAACATGTTGATATTTCAAGTTTTAAAACAACACTGACAATATTTTAAAAATTATAGTGTATTTATAGTATTAGAAAACTGTCGAATCCTATTCTCTATATCTTCCATCATTCAAACTAGAATCTTTATCAATTACTACAAAGCCATATTTGTCTGAATTCCAACATGTTGAACATAACTCTCGAAATTGATTAAATGTCATGTCAGTATTAACATGATCATCATACACATGTCTTAAATTTTTCTCATCTTGGCGAAAAAGGACTAATAAATTGACATTATCACGTACTAAATGTTTAGGAATTCTAGCATATGTTTGACAGAGGTAAAAACAATCAACGTCAACATGTCTACCCATACAAAAGAATGCCCTTACGTTGTCTTGCTTTTCACAAGCAATATCGTCAAATATAAATATTGAATTTAGTTTTGCATCTTTAGGAGCAATTACTTCTTCATGATCACTAAATGGTAAATATTCAACTCCATCAACGTTACTCACAACTTGTTCTAAGAACTTATATTTTGGTTGTTGTAATGATTTTGAGTATAAGTAAATGTTGTCAAATCTGAGACCATTAGGATCTAGAATTAGAGACAGTAATACATTTGTTTTTCCACAATTTGATGGGCCACAGAAAATTGCAGGAATACTACCTGATAATAAACTACCATGACGCTTAACTTTCTTCTCTTGTTGTTCAACAATTGAGTCCAGATTTACGACTGGCAGCTTATAAGGTTGTTCCTTAAATCGCATCCTGATGTAGACTGTTGTAAAAGGTATAAATGAAGCTCTAATATAACCTTTCAGTCATTCTATTTTAAACTATCATAGAGTAAGGTATGATTATTCATCATCGCTCTCGAGGGAAAGGTTTAGTTAATAGTCTTATAAATAAGTTACCATTTGAATTACATCTGCCTGGTTATCAATATTGTGGACCAGGCACAAAGTCAGCAAAACGTCTACAAAAAGGTGATCCGGGTATTAATCTTCTGGACGCCGCTTGTAAGGAGCACGATATCTCATATTCGAAAAATCGAGAAAACGTAGAAGCAAGAAACGTTGCTGATAGAGTTTTAGTTGAGAAGGCGTAGGAACGTATTACAGCAAATGATTCCAATATAGGAGAAAAAGCTGCTGCTTTAGCTATATCTGGTACTATGAAAGTTAAATCAAAATTGGGTATGGGAGTTAGGAGAAAGAGAAAGTCAAAATTAAGCTTGGGTGGAAGGAATAAAAAAAAGATATCTTCTAAAAAACTAACTGGCCTCAGAAAAATTGTAGATGCAGCTAGAAAATCCATAATTCCTGGTAATGATGCTCAATCAACAATTAAAAGTGCCATTGAAACTGCTCGGAAAGCTGTTAGAAATGCAGGAGGAAGAAAGAAAATTTAAGCACCGCGCATCTTGCCTGTACCTTCAAAAATTGGTGGTTTACTACTATTAATTCCAATTTTTGCTGGATTAAGCGCCCTTGGAGCACTTACTGGAGGTGTAGCAGGTGTATCAAAAGCTGTAAATAGTGCAACTGCAGCAAAAGATAAATTAAAAGAAGCTCACCGCCATAATAAAGCAATGGAAGATATTGCACTTGGTAAAAATCTCCATTTGAAAGCCTATCGTCAGGGATTAGGTCTTCATTTAAAACCGTTGTCAAAAGGATCAGGCCTTCATTTAAAACCTTATCAAAGAGGACAAGGAATAAAAAAGTGTTCAAAAAAAAAATTTTTTTTGATACTTCCTAAACGTGCACTACATGACTTTGAGTTGCTCAAGTATGTTAAAGACTTGAAAATTTCTAACTTTAGAGGGGCTTTTATGCGAAATGAATTGCCGACAACAGGGCCGCGAAAAAATGAATCAGCTATTATTAATTTAGATGATAAAGATGGTTCTGGAACCCATTGGGTTGCATATAAAAAAGTTAATAATAAAGATGAATACTTTGACAGTTTTGTTATCTTCAACCACCATTTGAACTTGTTAGTTATTTAGGTTATAATAGGAGCATGGGAAGAGGACGGGGTGGATGAAAGAGTGGAAAGGATGGTTGGTTTCCTAGAAAAAGTCAAGGATAAGAAGTCACAGGAAGGAGGAAAGGATAGAGCAAAGAGGGGATGGTGGGATAATGAGTGTGAAAGTAGTAAGGAGGAAATGAGGGTTAGCATCAAAATGTGGAGGAAAGGTTGCATAAACAGAAGGGAATATAAGAGACGACAAAAAGTACATGAGAAAATGCTGGAGCGGAAAAAAGAAGAGGAAAAGAGAAGATTTATGGAAGAGGTGGAGAGGGCAGTGAGGGAGGGGAGGGAATGGGAAATTATAAATAAAGAGAGAAGCAGAAAAGGTAGGGTAGATAGAAGCATAGGAATGAGGGAATGGACCAGATATTTTAAGGAACTTAGCGGGGGGTAGATGGAAGAGTCGTGGGGGAAAAAAGAGTACTGATAGAGGAAGAAGGGATTGGAGGAATAAGGGAGGAGGAGGTAGACAGAGCAATTGAAAGGCGGAAAAGAAATAAGGCAGCTGATTTAGATGGCATGGAAGCGGAATGTTTAAAGTATGGGGGTAGGGTAATTAGGAAGGAGATGTGGGGGATTATTAACAAGGTGTGGAAGGGGGAAGGGTGGCCAGAGGGATGGAAAACGGGAGTGATTGTGCCGCTGGTTAAAAAAGGGGAAGGTAAAAGAGTGGAAGAGTATAGAGGAATAACGTTAATGCCGGTGGGGTATAAGGTGTACGCGGAGATTTTGAGGCGAAGGGTGGAGGTGTGTGTGTAGAGGGGGTGGAATTCCACAAAACCAGGCGGGGTTTAGAAGGGGGATGGGTACCTTGGATCACATTTACTCCTTAAATTATTTAGTGGGGAAAAGGTTGGGGCAGAAGAGGGGGAAGCTGGTGACGTTGTTTGTCGACTTTAAGGCGGCGTTTCCGTCAGTTAACAGGGGGGTGTTATGGAAATCATTGAAGGAAAGAGGGATAGACAGGGATCTCATTGAGCCGATTAAAGAGATATGAGGACGCAAGGACAAAGGTTAGGGTGGGGGATATATTCGGGGACATTTTTTGGATGGGAAGAGGGTTAATGCAAGGCTGCCCGTTGAGTACTTTGCTTTTTAGTTTACTGATGGCAGACCTGGAAGAGAAGCTGAGGGGAAGAGGTAAAGGGGGGGTGGTACTGGGAAAAAGTAGGATTTACTCGTTAGCATATGCGGATGATATTGTGTTGCTGGCAGAGTGTGAGAGTGGGATGAGACTGATGATGAGAGAGTTTGAAAAGTATGTGTCGGGTAAGGATCTGTGCGTGAATGTAGAGAAAACGAAGGTTTTAAGATTTAGGAATAGGAAAGAAGGTAAGGAAGAAGTATGGAAGTTGAATGGAAAGAGTGTGGAAGAGGTGGATGAGTTTTGCTATTTGGGTTATTGGTTTAAATCGAATGGGAGTCAGGAATTGCATGTGAGTAGAAGGTTGGAAAAAGCGGGTAAGATTTTGGGGCAGGTATGCGGAATTGGAAAAAGGAGGTTTAAGGATGACTGGAGAAGAAGAATGTGGTTGTTTGATGTGCTGGTGTGGTCGGTAATATGTTACGGTGTGGAAATTTGGGAATGGAAGGAAAGAAAGAAAGTGGAGAGCATGAGTGAAAGGTATATGAGATGGACGATGGAAGTGAGTAGAAGTTGTCTGGGTTACATGCTTAGGGAGGAGCTGGGTAGGGAAAAAATGTTGGTAAGGCAAAGGAGGAGGGCGTGGGGTTTTGAGGAGAAGTTAAGGGAGGGAAGGGGGAATCAATTTACTCAAAGATGCAGAGAAATGGTAGTGGAAAGGGAGGAAAGGGGGGAAAAAGAAATGTCAAAATGGGAGGTCGAGAGAGGAATGGTTGTAAAGGAGGCGAGAAAGGAAGGTAGGGGTTGGTATGGCTTGGAGGGAAATTGGAAAGAGATGGATAAGGTAGAAAGATGGCAAAAGATATTAAGGTCGAGGTACAACATATGGTACAAGATGGTGAAGAGGGTTGGGGTGCCAAAATATCTAGATGACAAAGGAAAGGAGTCAAAGTGGAGTAGGATGGTTAGATTCAGAATGGGTGAGGGAGTGAATGCGTGTAGATATTGGTTAAGGAATGAGGAGAAAATGTGCAGGGTATGTGGGTACGAGGTGGAAGATTGGGGACATGTGCTGGAAAGGTGTGGAAGATGAATGAATGTGTGGAAGGATGATTGGGGAATGGGTGAGATAATTAGTTGGATTTTGGATGAAAGCGGTCAAGGTGTGACATGGATGGAAGATTTGGATGAAAGAAGGAAGATTGCACAGGGAAATTAGATATGGAGTGGGCGTTAAAAAACTAGATTTTGTTTTACTTGCAAGGGGAATTCCCGAGAAAGCCAAAATGGGCTAAAAAACAGGAAACGGAAGCCCAGGCAATTGAAAGAGAGAGAGAGAATTTTTGCGTTCTTGCGATAGTTGTAAGATTTTTGTATTAGTTTTAAGTTTAGTGTAATTAGATTTAAGAACAATGTAATTGGATCCTCGAACCCTGCTATGCAGGGAGAGTAAATAAATATAAATAAATTTAGGTTATAATACTCTAATACAATACAATCATAAAAATTATCAAGATTATAATACTTTTCAATGTGGTCATTTATGTCTTAAGTTTTTATGTGGACAACTTGAAATCATACAAAAATATATTCTATATAAATGATGGTATTTATTTAACCTAATCAGTTTAGAAAAAATCATCATCATGCATGAATCGTTTACTTTAACTATCTCTGGCAATTCATCTATTCTGGAGGCTGAATATTTTCCTCCAATAGAACTATTGCCTAATAGAAATTATGTACTTGGCTTAGTTGAATTGTTAACTTTCAATTCAATTCCTAATATTGATGAGGGTAAAAATAAATTTTATATTGATAATCAAGTAATTACTATACCCCCTGGTAGTTATGAAATTGAAGATATTGAAAAATATATTCAAAATTCTATTACAGATGGAGTTAAAAGTATAACTATAAAACCAAACAATAATACATTACGTAGTGAAATAAAAAGTACTCACAAAGTAAGTAGCCATTCTCAAAATAAATTCTATTAGAATTGAATGTAATATTACTACTGGTGCATACATTAACAATAAAAAGGTACACACAATTGATGAATTTTTTCCAGTTGTTCCTGCATGATATTTTCGAGGTGAAACTATAACAATTCGATTACACGTTAAGTCAGTGTAATCTGTATTATATTTCTTAAAAAAACTGGTGGAAACTATATAAACGAGTCACCATGTCAGAAATCATTCAGTCTTCATTCAGTTCGCAAGAGGCTAACACCTCAGAATTTACGTTTCCTGAAGCAGCTCGGTCTACGAGTTTATCAAGAAAATCAAAGAAAGAAAAACTAATAATCCACATATTTTTCTTTTTCTGTTGTAATAAAAATGGAAGAGACTTTAAATATTCTAAGTCTAGTAAAATATGATAACTCTCTAGCACACTATGAAATTCATGCTCATCAACCGAATGTTTTATCAGCATTTAATAATAGTGATGAGATTCGAATTGCTGTTAAACATCAAGATTTGTACATTCTTCCCTCTAAAAGTACATTACATGTACATGGAAGATTAGTTAAAACTAATCATTGTAAAAATGTTGGTCTAACGACAACTATGAAATCATACATTTCTCAAACACCTAATCAGATGATTTATGCTGAGAATGCAGGTTATCTTGACTTTGATGATGCTACTAGTGTAACTAATACTGATGGATATTTTGATGTAAATATACCACTAAATATGATTCTTGGATTTGCTGAGGACTATCGAAAGATTGTTGTAAATGCAAAACATGAACTTATTTTAACAAGATCTCGTACAGACCTTAATGCTATAGTTAACATTGACGGATTAGAGCGTGAAGAATTCAAAATTGTAATTAATAAAATTGAATGGATGATTCCATATTTATTTGTTAGTGATCGACAAAAAATTGAATTACTAAAATACACTGAAAAAGATTCACCTATAACGATGAGTTTCAGAGCATGGGACTTGTATGAATATCCTATGATTCCTGCTACACGAAAACACATATGGACTGTAAAAACTTCAACTCAAGTTGAAAAACCTAGATATCTTATTCTTGGTTTTCAAACAAACCGAAAAGAAAATCATACAAGGTATGCCAACATTTTTGATGATTGTAATTTAACCAATGTAAAACTTTACTTAAACTCACAATACTATCCATATGGTAATTTGAATTTAAATTTTAATCAAGGTCAATTTTCTATTCTTTATGATATGTATTGTAATTTTCAATCATCATACTATGGAAAAGAACCTGAGCCTTTGCTAAACAGAAATAACTTTAAAGATTATGCACCACTAGCTGTCATAGACTGTTCAAAACAAAACGAATTTTTAAAACAGTCATCTGTAGATGTACGCCTGGAAATTGAAGCTAGTGATAATTTTCCCAATAATACAGCTGCATACTGTTAAATAATTCATGATCGTATTATCCAATATACACCAATCAGCGGCGTTGTTAAAAAAGTATCATGATTGGTGGTTGTAATAGCCAATCAGAAGAGAGGAAAGGGTGTTAGTGGTGGGGAGGAGTGACTATAAAAAGAGCAGTTCTATGCAGCTTGGGTCATTCCTCTGTTACAGATATCATGTCGTACGTTGTAGATATCCAATGTTTCAAAAGACCCTACAACGAGTTTGTCATCAAGGAGCTGGCTATTCTACCTCTTCAAGAAGATGCTCATTCATTGGTCTACCTCTTCGAGCCGCCATACGCCTGGAGTCGATTACCAGCAAGATACAAATGTGAGAATCGATGGCTGACAAATAATTATCATGGTATCGATTGGGCTGCCGGCGACATACCTTATGAAGAATTACAACCTATAGTAAAAGAAGTATTAATTGGTACACCTACTGTTTACGTAAAAGGTTTGGAAAAACAAAGATGGCTGGAAAAATATACTTTAAACGTATTTAATTTAGATGATTTCAAATGTCCATCATTAAAAAGTTTAGATGTAGATAATTCATCTACATGTACAAACCACGAAATTGGTTGATCAAATGTACTACGAAATAATATAGAAAATAATTATGAAGTTGACAACAATTGTACATTAAAAGACTTTTATAATGATTGTGAAAATTTTATATGCAATGAATAAATGTATAAAAATGTATTTAAAATGTTTTATATTAACCCTTTAATGGCCGAGTTTTTTGTCGTTACTTTAGACTTATAATGTATATTAGATTTAATTACTAAAGTATTCAGTATGAGAAAAAAATTTTTTTAACATGTCTCACCCCTTAAAACCACCCCCACGGTACATTACTACCCCAAAAAACTGATATTTAACCAAATTGATGAATTAAATATTTTTCAGCTCTTATCTACTTTTTATTTATTTATAAACATTGCCTGGTTGCTTAAAAATTGAAAAGGATCAATAACCCCTTGAAAACACCCTTAAAGTCAAATAATCATTCCTTGACGGTGAAAGTTTTTGTAAATGATTAAAAAAAATCTATAGATTCTAATTGCTTCTAAATTATAAACAATTATTTGAAAGTTACACAGACATAGATAATAATAATAATAATAAACTCACCCCCTACCCTTGAAGCCCACCCCTAATTCATAACTATTCTCAGTTTGGAACAATCAAAAAAATAATTTTCACTGATTTTCGAAAATATGAAAAAAAAATTTTCTATGATAACTAAGTATTAATACTGAATATAAACAACCCCTAAAAAACAACCCTTAAGTCAAATAACCACCCCTTAATGATAAATGTTTTTGTGAATAAATGAAAAAAATTATATGGATTCTAAGTGCTTCTGAATTGTAAAAAAGTATTTCAATGTTTCACAGATATAGATAATAATAATAAACTCACCCCCTACCCTTGAAATCCACCCCTAATTCATAAGTTATAAGATACTGAATTCAGTTTTCAACAATCAAAAAAATAATTTTCACTGATTATTATCATATTGAGAAATGCATTGAGTACATACTCAATGCACTCCCCTCCACGATGGCGTAGAGGGGAGTACATTGGGTAAATGAAAGGGGGGGGTACGACAGTAGCAAAGAAGCTCCCATGTGGAACTGCTGTTATAAGGCAATCAGCGCGTCGTTTCGTTTTCTCTGTGTAGCGTTCTCCCACTACCTCACCGATTGAGCCTGGGTCTGTAATTTTCATTTTCATACTAAACTCCTAACAACAGGCACTAAAAGCTACAAAATTAATAGGCAATAATGACACCAGCATTATTTTGCAATTTTGAAAACGGACATCGGATTCGTAATCAGCGCCCCCGAAAACCCCCAAGTAACAATTTTCAAGCGAATTTATTAATTTTTAAAGGTTTTGGTTTTTAGGGGTAGTTTTAGTTATTTTTCTGCACCCTCGGGTTGAATTTTTAATATTAATTTTTTTTACAAAGGTTGCAATATTTTTAAACATATGTTACTATGAAAGCCTGAAAAAAAAATTTCTTCTGAAATTTATACCTGTTTTTTCATTTTTCTCATTTTTCGGGTTTTTTGAAGGGGTGTATTTCAAAGAGGGTAGTTTTTTAAAAAAATACATGTATTTACATTTGTTACTCTATCCCTCCCCTTCAAAATGAGATCTTAGTGGAGTTAATCGATTAAGTTTTAAGAAAGTTATGATTTTTTGAAGTAGGTGGGACGTATGTGTCCCACTGGCCATGAAAGGGTTAATTTACCCTACCTTCCTATTATCTTTATTATATGTTTAAGCTATTTTTAACGAGTTTAAGCACGTATAAACTTGTCTTATGACGTCACAAAGTGGGTGTGGCTAACTTTGGAGTGGTGGAGGTATCACGCATGCGTAGAAAAAGCAAAAAAGAACTGCGCATGCGTACAAGAAGGAGTGGGGTTAAATAGCAAGAGTAGGGGGTAAAAGTCTATTGCGCATGCACGAGCAAAATTTTAGAGTATAAATATAGGGTCCATAAGCATTTTTGCTAATTCTTCTTTTGTTCACAGTAGCAATGGATCTCAGTAAAATCAACGCCATTGGCCGTATGGATGCATTTTTGCCAACGAAGCCGTTCTCCGAATTGACTCCTGGACATAAGTATCCAATTACAAAGATCCAGGTAGTCAACA